ACTGTAGCAATCACCGAGATAGTCTAAGACGTCTACCTCAAATGCACACGCATGATAGAAAATGACTGATGCCCGGACAGTGCGGGAAACCAGCCAGCCCAGTATTAAATCTCTTCTGGACAACAGTCTCTCGGTTGATCTAAACTCATCTGGAATGCCCCAGTAAGACGGAATAACGAATCAAGACCTGACTATGCATAAAATGCAAGACTAGGGTACTGATAAATCAAAAGACAATTAAGATCCAACTTCAAATCAGATGCAAGAGTGTTTAGCATAACCCTGGGACATTTGTTTGGAAAAGCAGAGGCTGATCAGGTCTTCGAATTTTCGCTTCGATGGAATGAAGTTAATGAAGACGGGCGGACTCTGTGAAAGTATATCGTCGTTTACATCTAGCGGTACAGGAGATGGCTGCCAAATAGTGACACGCGATATGCGCCAGTCCATTGGAGACTCCTGTGTAATTATAACTCCAATATTCATTCCATTCCCATATCGCAAAATTTGATCTTTCCATTAGAAATCCACATTTTTTACTGACAAACGAGTTTCTCGTCATTAGTCAGTACTTTAATTTGGATGGAGTTGTAGAACTGAATTCGGAAAGGACTACTCCAAAGAACTATTTCTGAGTATTGTGCCGGATGCTTTTCTACCACCTCAGTCGTGTGAACAACCCATCCTCCGCCAAAAGTGACATCGACTCGGAACGAAAATAGGTCATGGCCATTCACCTTAAAACCGCCTCCACCTCTCAGGCGAATGCATGTAAGCTTTGTGGTAAGGCAAAATCTCATCAACTTGGAAAGCAAATGTACCTCATTTCTTCATCACACAGTAACCTGAGAGTCAAATCTTGCTTTGTCGTACTGATAACGTGTGAATGAGTAGCGGAGAGCTTCCCGTACTACATGTTCGACTACTCTTTATCATGTCTTTAAAATAGTCGTGGCATTTTTGTTCAAAAATACAGAAGTCCTCAGACAACTTGATGATGACCTTTAGTATTAAATGCGGCCACTAGGTGCAGAAGGAAGCAAAACCGATCCACCTGAGAATATGCAAATTAGCATATTGAAAGGTAAAACCAGATATGAGACTATTTCTCGTACATCATATTTTGAAAAGAAGCAGATGACCTTTTAGTGGTATGCAAAGTGTGGCTCTAGAAATCTCTCAACACCCCCTTACTGATGCATATATTGGATACGCTTTCTACAAACCAGCAGCTAATTGCTGATTGAAGCATAAAAGCCAAGTTGAATTGTGACTTATACAATCCGTGTTCATGATAGTACTCCATTCTTGTACAGACACCTTACAAATCGTGCCATTAAGACGGAGGAGAAGCTAAATCACCACGTCCAGAAAATACTGTTGCAATAACTCATCTCCACTTCCATTGTATTCAAATTTGTTCACTTAAGAGAGGGTTGTGTCCTCCCACGATGTGATACTTAGTCAACACAAACACAGGCATAAGATGCTTCTACATCTTTCTCCTCTCACTTTTAGGAACTTCATGCTTCCTTGAAGCCATCCTCTTCTGCATAGCTCTTAACACCTATGCATTTCAGAGTTCCTCATAATCATAGGACTGAAAAGTCTATATTTTATCTTCGTCACATTTCTTGCCTCAGTACGCACGAGACACGATCTGAGAAGACGTAGGAGCTGACAGTGTTGGAGAAGATCATCTGAAAAGACTAAGTGAAGGCAAATGAGCTGGGCTTTTGTTCATCCCAATAAACTTTCGCAGCGAAAAAGCGTTCTCCCTAGTATGGAACTGTTGAGATTCGCGCCAATAATGCGTTCTTTTTGAGTCACTTTGCCAATGGGTGTGACATTCGTGCATATTTTACACTGTCGACGTATACACAATTAGGAAATCAACGGCGTACAGTTGAATTATCATGAATGATGCAGTGGTGAGATCGAGTTCACTTACGGCGCAAAGCTGCGCTCAAATTACCAAGGGTTGAAAACATTCTGTCCAAAGTGCTTTTCATGTCTGCTATCCTCAGACAAGGTACCACTCCCCCAGTTCTTTGGACAGACACATGATAACTAGTGGCATCTGCCCATCCGTGCGACCTATCATAGATGAATTAAAATTTGACCATTATTGCAAACATCCAAGTCATGTTCTGTGACACGCCCATCTCAGTCAAGTTTGCTTTTCGAGCTAATCCACTTGAACATCGCATTATAAAACGTGAAATCCTGGATGGAAGTCATCAGCGTCTCGTTTCGTTCAGCATCATAACTGCGGTTCTAGTCGAAACATTCCCTCAAACCTCGTCAAACAAATATTTCTGCGCGTAATCACGACCGACATTTTTGGGGTCCCTAGATAAATCAACAGTAACAATGTGGTGATGGAGTGGAAGAAGGAGGAAGAGGAATAGGACGAGGCAGGAGGGTTTGCATCGTTGTTTGGATTGAGTAAATGTAGCAGTATAGATTTGAAAGTTACCAATTTTGTTTGACATGTGAACTATCAGATTTCTCACTCAAACAAGGATCACAAGCGGTTGACAACAGTAAACTTAGCTACTACATTTGAGTCGGCAATTACGAAGCCCAAAGACTTCTATCCATTCAATCAGGTTGTCAAAATTTGGCTCTATGCTTCTAAGCCAAATAAAAAAGATCGTATAGGTAAAATAAATCTCTGCTTGCTTATTTTGGCATCTATTTTTAAAATCGCATTGCCGGTCACAAGGTTGGCTCACTTGCATCACCTGCCACCCTCAGGGTGTAATCAATCCGATATATATGACACAAATGTACGTCCAGATTTTATTTAGAAATCAAATAAAATAGTTGGTTTTGTTACACAACTATTTGCGCATCCTAGTTTATGTGTAATACACAATGATTCTCTCCTCCACCTCTGCCTTCAAGCCTTGAAAAGAGCAGACTGGTGACAAGAGGCAGCCTCTTTTATGATAGTTTTATATTAATAGTAATACAAACCTATTAAAGTATACAACTGTAACTTAACAAATGTGAAGAATTTAAAAGATCTCCATATGTGATTTAACCACACAAATTCATACAACTTTTGTAAACCAATCAGCAAATTTTATAAGATGTCTCAAACACATTAGCAGAAGCAATAATCAGCATTATAACCTTTGACTCCATTCCGACGCGACACAAGCTTGCGATACTCACGTCAAAAAATGTGCTTTTGCTCAAAAAGTAAAATATCCGACTTAGACTCCTTGGTTTCAATCCTACTCTTTCCTTGCATGCGCTTGCCTGATCGCCTAGTGCTAGTGTCGAAAAGAGATAAAAATTACCGTTCAGAGCATAAAAATTGTCAGGGAACAAATGGAAGTTGAGGTTAAGGCAGTATCTCCCTGCCCCAGCGGCAATTTGTTTTAGCCCTTATTCGAGTGAAAAACTAGGATTGCTTGAGGATGAAGTGATATCTTAGATTTGTAGAACAAATATTGGAACACTTGGGGAAAAACCAATATTGTCTGCACTATTGAAGAATAACAAAATTATAAACTCATCTCTCATCGTAAGTCGGATAAGATGCCAGCAGGTCAGGAAATATTCGCCCATATCACCCATCCTAGTTAAGCAATTTTTCATTTTATTCCTTAAATGGGACAAATTTAGAAGTCAAAATGATGCCGCATTAGGCCTAACTGTTAGTTGAACTACATGGGTGCTTGAAATTCGGTAGAATGCGCTTCTGCTCTGCGGCATTTTCTTCACACCATGTTAGTCACCTCTCAGCCATCGCTTATTACAACAACAGCAAAGACTCGTGATTCTACAAATACCATTGAAACTAACAATGCTCTGACTGAATGAAAAAATCACTAAGACAGGTCTGCACTTACTGGTTTTAAATATTTAATTCTAGGCAAAATGACATCATTTTCGAAGCTTCAACAGTTCTGATTAGAACGATAAAATACTAAAATATAAACTATTAACTTGAAGGCTAAAGGTATGACCGAAGAGACATGGTCATAATTAAACATACAGTAGACCATGGTTACAAACAACAAGATGTATTTCTGCTAGTCGACATGTACCTCTGACCATGGTGGTAACCTCAATGTCATGTCTTATTATAACCTCTGCGAAGACTCGGGACGCCTAAATATAATTGAAAATCACACAATGCTACGATTATAGTGAAAATTACTGAAAACACATAGCTAAACTTGTCGTTTTACTAATGGGATTATAAGGAAAATACCATCCTTTCAAAGTCGAATTTTTTCTTATGCAGGTAAAAAGATCTACCACCAATTTACAAAGGCGGTAAAGCTCTATGCATGATCAGAGGGCCATTGTGTGGATCGACGAATAACCCGCGATGATTAAGTAGTTCGCGAAGCAAAAACAAACAGTTAAGCAAAGCAACAAGTGCAGGGCAATTGCATAGTTCCCACTTTGCGGGCCTTAATCTGTGGGCAAATTGGGCACTTCTGTGTAGATAACCTTAATGCAAAAAAATGTCAAAAATCTTCTGCGAGTCAGGAACAGCAGTTATGAAAGTCTCGTGCAAGTAAAAGGACCTTTTTTTCTACTGTCGAAGACGCACCTCTATGATTCCATTGCATCCTAAGTATTCTTTTACTTGCGATTTGCACATGAGGAGGAGGTATTCACTGGCTTTGCACAGCTCAAAGCTGCACGATGCTGCACTGATGCATATCGTGGGCCAAACAACAGTTGCAGGTACTTGTAGCCAGAAGCAGAGACATTTAGTAAAATATGAAATTCAAAGTAAGCTTATAATTTGGAGTAATATTCTGCATTTACTCCCTCTTGACACTTCCATTTTCTGTAGGTAATGATCAGTGGCATATAGGAGTTCATTTCAGTTAGAAGTGGAGGCGTAGAGAAGGCATCGTTTTTCCGCAATATAGTATCACCACATATTTAATGGAAGCAAGTCCCTAGTGGACTTAATTATATCATCCAACCTCCACAATTTATGGATTTTGCTGAGTATTTTGACAATGACAATCGGACAATCTAACTGTGGCTTGAAGCAAGGGAATAGAGGTCGTGGTGGTGATCACACAGCCAGACCTGCTGTAGGGACACATTTTCGCAGATCTGCTGGCAGCGTGGAAGCGGGTGCGCATTTTGCCATGGCCAACGTTCGCGACGTCGGAGGGCAGATCAGACACAATCGTACACGGGAGCGTTAATCTCAGACATCTTGATCATCGGCTGATCACTATTCACCTTCACACATCCTTGTCTCTAGCATAATTTGGAAGGGACCTAGTGAAAATTGTTCACTACTTTCTCTGAATGGGCACTGTAAGGTGGAATTGAAAGTGTTGCAGGACGCAATGTAGATGTCTGCAGAAACGTCGGCATCAGTGTTGCTGCTTCTCGGTGGCATTGTGTTGCTCACCCCTGATCACGCTAACAAAACCCGACTCACAATGGTTTTACTAGTTGACGTTGAGTAAAGTAAATCGTGAAGTGGTACCACATTGCATAATAACTCTTGTTTATTTGGCTTTACCAAAGCCAGTCACTCATAATACTTGAACACGATAAACCGCTTGCAGCTTTTACCAGGGTTATCAAATAAAGTCTTCTACAAATGTTATGGTAGTCGAAATGTGGCCTGTTCCACATTTTTGGTGGCAATCATGTTTTCGATGCTACGACTTAATTAGGCCGAAGTAATATCATCGATATAGTGGAAATCAGGAGAGACATATGATAAGCTTTATTAGAATTGCTTTTGTAATTAATCTTGTTGTTCTTTATGAAATGGTATCATTGCTACTTAATAGGTTAAGACCAGCAGATCACTGGGATTTCTCCAAATTTATATCTTCCCATTATTTGCACTGATTTTTGCTGTGATACCTGTGGTAGTCGGAATTTCGCACTAGGCTCGATGCTTCTACTACTAGTCGCGGTGTCGCCATTACATTTAAGGACGATAAGAAATTTCCTTTCTTTAGTAATAAATGATTCAAATGTAGAAATTGGATCCGTCATGAAGCAAAAAATTAAATGATAGATTCTGGTAAGGACGAGTTCTACTTTATGAACCAAACTCTTCCTTTGACCCCACTGCACCCATTGCAGCACATCGAGCTGCGGTATTCAAACCTCTTGATAAGCATGAATGCTTACTTATTCAGGGTGGTGAGATTCCGTATTGCAAACGCATGGATTGTTTGCAAGTTATTTTAATAGAGAGATTAAAATTTGTTCATTAAGTTTTTAATGTACTTTGTAGCATATTTTTGAATACTTTCACTGTCAATCACAGGATTTTCATCATTTTATTGCCATCACATCAGTCTAATCAAGCCGCATCATTTGCTTCATAATTTTCGGTATCCTTATGAAAAAAGGCTTGCAGATTGCCTTAAACTTTGTCAACAATGGCATTTGATGCCTCTATTGAAGTAGTGAAAGCTGCTCATCATGCTGCGGTATTTTGAGGAAATATGTTTGGTAACGCGGCTTGATTTTAATAAATGGTGTTTTTAGGAAAACCCTCTGAATTTGTTAAACTTATTTATAAACTGTTCAGAGGAACGGGGTTAGCCCATATGTAAAAATCCTATTAAATATAAACATTTATTAATACACGTGTAGAAATTGGAATGGATTCGTACTGTCATACTCTGAAGTTAAGTACTTTTTCAAGCTTAGAAATGATTATGTTATCCCTCAATGAATATGCAGTTGGAAGTGTTATTTACTTTAAATGGCTTTACCTATGTAGCAACGAGTCCATGAACGGCTGAGTACTTTGCTTATCTTCCTTAAAGCAGTTTAAGTACTTTAAATATACGTTTATTTGTGCGTAATCTTTTGGGAAAGAAGTGGTTATTACAAAAACCTTAAAATTGAATGTAAATTTGCGCAATACATGCTTGTTTGAATATCCCTTCTAAGTGGCAGGCGGGTAGAGTGGTCATTACTCTTAAATCAAGCAGGCGCCATCGGTCGCCATGCAAAGAACAAACTCTGATTCCTCTAAACAACTGCGGTCGTTTGTAGAATCCCGCATTGCCACAATGGGCGATGTCTTACTCTAGCCATGTTTCTAAATCAAGCAATCTGAAACTGGAGGTGGGAGAAGTAAACATGGAACAATCCACTTTTGTACCTGCTGTTGAAAAGTATTATTTCAAATACCTTTTCCAAGCTTTCAAAAGTGCTGGTTGAAATGTACGGCCAATTAAATCTCATTATCTGTATTTTGCATTTAACCTAAGTACAGTCGACTTAATATCTACTTTTTCATAACTAATAAATTGTGTGAATATTTTTGATATCCTTTGATAAATAACTAGGTCTGAGTGATGAGTCTGATTACGCGACTTATACTTTACTCGCTACGGTATCACTCCCTCCTCTCCTGCATCGCGATTGACGCCAATTCTCGAAAAGATGTCTTTTGGATGGAAGTTAAAGAAGAAAAGAATTTTGCAACTAAATGATATTTAATTGGACTTTTAACTACGCAGCCTATTTGGCCTCCACTGATCGCATCAATATCTAACGACGTGGGATACCATTCATAGCTATATGCATCCGACCCTTCTACACACCAACAAATTTGAATGCTGCTACACTAGTGACTTTTCAAATAGTATACGGGAAGATACACTTATAATGATCATCACTTCTGGTATCGCCTAGCTCTTTTTAAGTAGCCTAATCCCTATATGAAAATGTACCATTGCAAATTTATTTATATAGTCAGCGGTGGTCGGCAATATTTATATGCGGTATTCTTCATCTAGTAACTATGGTAACTCCTAACCTTTAGAAACTTTAAGAAGGAATGAGGTTTATGACATACATTTCAAAGCGCAGGAATGTGCTATTCTATCCCTATTCTTTACTATCCTCTATAGCGTTTTATTCTTGCCCTGAACGAATAATGTGGAGGGCTGTATCACCTTTAGAAAGACTCTGTACAGAGGAGTGGGCCCCGACTCCCAAGTGCACTCAGTGGAACAGCTTATTTACGACGTCGAAGATCGTGGAACCTACATAGTAAATTATTGCTACCTGGCATGCCTTATTGAATGACGTGCGATGTACTGCAAAGGCTGTCGTCATGCTACTTTTCACAACTTCCATGTTGCAAACTATTAAAACCCTTATTTGGGGGAAAATATTTACCGGGCTACTGATATCTTAACTGATATATGAGGAAAGGTGAGTTTGGTATATCATTATTCGTTAATCGAGCAGACGTCTCATTGGTTTTCCTTAAGTGTCCTCCTATATGCTCCACAAATCCAAGACACCGCATCATTCTCAGGAGATTTATCCATTCGCTTGAACAAGGGCGAGCACAAATTACCACTGAGGAGGGGAGATACAGCCTCAACCTCATCCTCCACTTATTCCCTCACGACGTTTATGCTTTAAATGGCAATTATCACCTTTTCTCGCCACTATCGCTAGATGTTCGCATAATTGCAAAAGTACTAAAAATGGGGTAATCTGGTACTTCTTGCGTGAAAACGGTTTATTTGGGAGTGAGATTTCTAATGCTGATTATTTCAACGACTAATGTATTTAGGTCAACTTATAGAATTCGGAATTTCGTTCATAAAAGCTACATAAATTTGCTCATAATTTTCTAGCAAGTGACTTGCCATGATTAATTGGGCAGGACGCAACTCGTTACTCCATTTCTTGTTGGTGGAAGTATTTGAGATTTACTTGTCTGTATTCTCCGCTTATTCAGCACAGAGCTGCTCACAAATTACTAACAATAAATCGGACAAAGTGCACCGCTTTGCTTTCCTACTTATGTAAAAGGCGTTTTAGACGTAGGATTCTTGAGCTTGTGTCCCATTGGAAAGGGGTTATAGGATACAATGCTGATTATTTCACCAAATATTGTATTTCAAATAATGCTTTTAATAAATTTTACTTAATGTTAACCTAATTTGTGCATCACAGTAAGTCGCCCTATTAAATTCACTAGAAAAAATTGCATTGCTTTTCAAAGTTTTTGCATTTATTTTAAGTAAGCTCACATTTTGCATTCCATCTACTTTATGAGATGTCTTGGGCTGAGAAATCCATCGGGTGAGCGAGTACGTTATTTAAAAATTTTCATATGGGCGAGTAAACACAAACCTCCCTTGTAGGGGTCTTATCGCTGCAGCCTTCTTCATCACTTCTTTTCACATTTCGAATTTTCGCTAATTATTTTTGTTTCCCATCATCCTGGTCTTTATATTCCTCCTTAGTAACCTAGCATTTGCAGGAGTACACATGATTTAACTTTTTCTGGGTGGGTTGGCTGAAGGTTCCGATTAAGCCTCTGTCTTCCACTGGCTATTGGAGGTGGTGGCAGCATCTTAAGCCTACAGCTCTTTTCCGCACAGAATACCATGCATGCATTCAACAGTTGCAGATGTCACAAGCAGGGTTATTCCAAATACAGGGAAAATTTTAATTTAACTAAAATTCCAACGACCTGCAAGTTAAAAACCTCCTAAATAGTATTGACAATATTTTACCTTGTTGTTGTATCCGATTAGTTTTAAGAGGGCCAGCTCACTTGTTCTGTAAAGTTTGTGACGTTATTTGTACCATAATTTTGGTTACTTTTATTAACGTCACTTGATTTTCGCCATTTTGGTGATAGCATATCATTCTCATTTAGTCGTATCATTAGCGTTATAATTTTCAATAACCCTATGAAACACCATCTTTCAATTACCATACAATTTGTCTACGATTTCATCAGGTTTAATTATTAAAGGGGCTCATTGACATACGGTACGTTTGGTGATTAAATGCAAAAAAGGATAAAACAGAGGTCCCAAAACACGGTGATGCGCTTTCATGTTTCACTTTTCTCAACGTCAGCTCATGCAACCATCGCGAGTGTGATCATGATTGCGTTGGTGCTGTCAACACTGAACAGGGCAATGCAGCTGGAACGCAACTGCATCGGAACCGCCATTTCAACAGACATCTACTTTGCGTCCTACAATACTGTTAATTCCGCTTCAACACAGGTGTCAAAATAATCATGCGATTTTTATCCAAGTTGGATCTCTCATCCACCAACACGGAGAAAATAGAAGATTCGCTCTATCTTTACAGTGCAAAACCAGAGGGAAAAGTCAGCAATTTTCACTAATTACCTCCCATGGCCTGTTAGAGGCACAGATGATCAAGATGACTGCAAGTAAGACTTCCCTACTCTCAGACGTTGCATAATATGCATGGACGATATTATCGTCTTTGATATAGATATTTGGAAGAATTCTGTCAATCTGCAACGAAGGTCTGACTCTGACTGAACTCATAGAAATGTCGGTTTTTGCAGTACTCGCTCAACTTCTTGGGACACTGTGTTGTCAGACCGAGTACCAACATTAACCAATCAGACGGAATTGCGTAGTCAAAGGTTGTGCTAAAATCGCAACCCCGTTGCATAAACTAAAGGAAGAGCAGAAGAAAAAGTGGGTAAATGGGTAAAAGAGTATAAGCACTATTTCAAAGAATTAGAGCGAAGCCCTGCTCCACGCCGATTTTTGCCTTACCAAACTTTGAACCTATGCTATCGTCGCAACTGTTGGTGGTAGACTAGCAAAAAGGGAAAAGGATAGAGGGAGGGAAGAAAGTAAACACGTTATCATCTACGCGTAGTTGTTTTAAAATCACCAAACAGGCAAGAGAGAAGAACGCAACAAAACGTGAACCATTTGCTAACCTCACAGTAGTAGCTAGAAACTTCCGACATTATCCCATAGCGTGAAAGCCAATGGTGAAGGCGGAGCTTGAGGCGCTGAACTGATTTAAAACAATAAAGGAGATAGATGGTTCAGTTGCACTTTGGTAGAAGGGAGTGCAGCAGTACGATTTCACACTACAATGCAAAAAAGGAACACGCATAGTAATACGGATGCTGGCTGGAAGACAAGTTGCGGCAGAAACAGGTGATGTAGTTAGGACCATATTCTTGAGCTAGTCAGCTAAACATCATTAAAGGAATACGTAGAGTACTGACCCCAATATAGCCCTGATATACGAGGGGTTCCTTACATACTCTTATAGACCCACAATGATGGAGATACTTTCATCGGGCATAGATATCAGACGAAAATATAGCAGAGTTGGGCAAAAATAGATCTAGAGAATGAGGTTTTGCAGTGCCAAAGTGATGTTAGGGCTCTTAAGCGCCTACTGGTGTCCGAATCATTAATAGGAACGGTTTTCCAAGAGTTACATCAGCAATTGTGCCAAGTGGGCTAAAAGAAGATGCTGGACGTCTCGTGTGAAATATGCTGTTGGCCTTCGCTCACCGTAGACGTACTTGATATCTGCCAGCTCTGCGTTACTTAGAGCAGCTTCAAAAGATTCCATTTTACAGCGATCGCACTACTTTGTCCTATACCCAGTGGGATTTTGGGGAAAAGACTAGGTATTGACACCATGGGTTGTTCACCGCCCACCTATGACGACTCAAGACTCTGAAACTGTCGCTTGAGTTCTCGTCAGTCGCTGGAGTTGTCAAGGCGGAGTACCCGAAACGGTGCGTAGTGATCAGGGGTTTAATTTTGATGGCCGACTCTTTATTGGACTACGTAAGGCCTTCGGGATTCCAAAGAAATGCACGACGCTTAAACGACCACAAGGCAATGGACAGGTGATAAGAACTAGTCGCACTATGGTTCGACTACTGAAGGCTTTCATCAGGGATACACAACCGGAAGACTGGGATTGAAGCCTTGAATGGTGTCCGCTTGAGTATGAGCTACAGCTCATGTACATCAGTCGACTTTTCACTGTTTAAGAAGCTTACGGATCGTAAAAAGAGAGTACATTTCGATATTTTTTAATAAACACGGAATCAGCAGCTACGACGTCCCAGAGTACGTAATACGACTGACAGAAGGAATGAGGCACACTTTCAACATTGTGCGAGAACAGTTACAACTATCAGACCTCAGATAGAAGAGAAATTATGGCACACATAATCAGTCCAACTTATGCAGAGAATGAATCCTAGTAGAACTATATAGACCTGCTTCGCCACCTGGAGTACAGCAGACGTTCCACCATTGGTAAAGCAAGGATGCCTTCCGCGTGAAAAATTTGTCTTACTAGGGAACCACTATGTCTGCAATACACAACTCTGCACTCGGCTAATCACCGTTCATCACAATAAGATTCGCTTTTACAAAGGTACACCCCCAATAGGGTACGACGAAGTATGGGTACTAACAGAAGAAGGCCAACGCGGGTATACTACTCAGATATCACCCACAAGCGGGACCCCGAGGAGACAATACATGTAATGCACGCTTGTTTGGGTGTACTTTTTAGGCGATAGGTGGTCAGAAATTGTGAACCTTATGTTAGGTCAGACGCTATGGCTCCCCGGAGGGGAAACACACCTCAAACACGCCCGATTCGCAGTATCTGTACCCTTTAATAGTCGCCATCGAATAAAGCATGTTGCCATTCAACTTATCAACTCGTTTTAAGGGAATGAAGGCCATGGTGGAAGAAATAATCGTTGGGCCTGTCACAATGAAGCAGTTGCAGCGTCCCGAGACTTCTCTGAAGATGAAAGAAAGCACAATACTCGGACAGAATATATATTCAGCGCAGAGAAGGTGTTTGAGTTACTGGCGTGGCCCGAAGGCCAGCCCACCCAGCCAGGTAGAGGAAGGCGAATCCAAAAGTTTAGAAGTGCTGCCTTATTGATACCGAGGGACAAACCACCATCGTATTACACAATTGTTGTCAGAAATAATTAATGATTCTATTACCTAAAGTTAAATGTGTGTTTGGATGACTATGCCCATAAAAGATTGCAAATTGCAGCAAATATTTATGCCCTAAGTTATTTTGTAGTTTGTATTAAATGGTTCTAACTATAGTATTCGGACAATCTAAATACTCTTTTAGTCAGCTTTCTAAAAAGTTAGTTGCTTGCCAAAAGCTACAATAGTTTTAAAAAATTTTCTTTTTTGCCTAATGCGTAGACTTTGCTCAAAGTAGCCAAATAAATAGTTAAAGCATGCTTGTTTTAATCAACCAATTCCCATCAAGGTATGTAGCAGTACAGGACTTTAAAGTTATGGTGGTGCCTGTCGGGTTATGCCTTTGCGGGTGTGTATACCCCGTTAAGCGCAACGGATGAGCCGGAGGCCAGTTACTTTTGAAGACTCGGATGATATTCGCTTAGACCCTTATTTAGAAAATCCTCCCTCTACTACCTTTGAAAAGCAACGCAATCCAAATAATTGTCGCGAAAATCCGAGTTTTAGCTCTAATTCACGGTACAATTCTGCTTTTAAAACATCTTTTTGTATCTTTTATCCAGGAATCGCGTGAATGGACTAAACAGTCGTGAAAGGTGCAACAAATTTCGAAGTAAGTCCATCGGAACATCCCACCATATTTGCGGTTTGAATCCCAAGTCCAGTACCAGCACTTCTCCCCAACCTAGTCAAGGTACTTAACTCCTCTTTTGCCATTCCTAATGATCTTGAAAATTTAAGCCCGTTATTTTTTGTTGCATTTGTACTTTCGACTTTTCTTTTTATTTGACTCAGAAGAGATGGACCAACCACTTAGTGGTGGCGGTCAGTATCGGCACTTTCCCCCAGCTGATGAAGTGGGCGGGGACAGTTCAGATATACTGAATTCGTCGTCTATCGGCGACGATAACTTATCTCGTGGGCGCCTTGTTGGCTCTAATAACAGCAATAATAACCCAACCTCCCGTGACTCTGATATTGATAACGAGGCGCCTGAAATCGACGACGATGATGATGCCAACGAAAATGGCCCTAATATCAACGAAATCTCATCAGTCTACTACATGCGTCGCCAACAGCGACGTCAGCAGCAGCGCCTAAGACGTCGTGACACGTCTTCCGCCTCAGTCTGTGGAGACACAGCATCAAGACGACGTCCACCCATCAGTCTTTCGCGCTCCTCCACTCGAATTGGTCAATCTTCCATACCCCCACCACCTTCGGAGCCGCCGCCTTCGCTGCCACCTTGCGGTATCGATCTGAGTAGTCAGTGCTCAATGTATCCCGTTCTCGGCGCCGGCAGATTCGGTCTTGTCGGTCAGCAGACATCGGCCGCACTGCCCGCCATGCTTCACATTCCCGGCCTGCCTGTGAACTATCCGCCTCCAGGTGAACCCACATTACTCTGAATTGAATAACAATAATCCTTCAACTGTTGCGTGCTTTGGGTAGTTGTTTGGAGTGCCCAAGACACACCGGGACCTCTAATTTTATCCCTATTTAAAAGGCATGCCACCGTGTCGGTGCTAAACGCCACGACTGCCAAGGCCATTTTGGATTCTGTTAATCAAGAGAGCAGGCACGTGACAGCACGTTTATACAACTTGTGGTCATGATTTGAGGTTTTTTCCTCCATGAAGGCGTGGAACTCCTACCATTTGAATGCCGCAAAGGTTTTTTCGAGGTGGTCGTGTATTTTTCAGCGGCTATCCCGTCTTGGTGATTGTTGGTCCATCGTCATTCCAGTGAACACTAGGCCAGTGGATTAGATGTCTTCCTGATTTTGAGCTGTCGATTGGCATACAACCTGCTGTTAAATTTCTTAAAAGGTTGACAGACGATAAACGCAATCACCGGCAAAAGTGTAATGGCCAATCGCAAAAGAGTGGAATGCTGCCATGAGTTCCTGAAGCTTTTCAGCTATTAGTTAAACAGCAGGATCCATGTCTAAATATAGAAGGGGAGCATGTGGAAAGTGGTTCAGTTTCCTTCCCTTATAATTCAATTGATTGGAGGGTGAATTGGCAAAAGGCTTTAAAAATACTGCATATCTTTTGATGCTTACTCTTTTAAGTCGCCTTTGTTAGCATATCATTCAGCTGGGTTCTTGGTCGATTTGTTTCACAATTCATATGCAATCTGGGACGATTCTACATCTTCCAGTTTACATCGACCAAATGGCTTGAAATCGCCTCCCAAAATAGGTCCTCTTAAACTCGAACTTTTGTTTAAGTTAGCCTAATACCTAACTTTAAAGGTACCCTGGAAGTGGCTTCATTGTAGGCATTTATATGGTCTGAAGGAACAGTAGCACATTTGGCATGAGTAGAGGCGCCTGTTTTTGTATTTTCACGGAAGCTGTCCTGATTTCGTCCTCTCTCCTAACAAATGGAGGCGTCAGGTGTCTGAATTTCTTTCATTGTTCATTCTTTTTTATGGGGCTATTTTAGGCAGTTCTGTTTGTCTTCACGTAAACTCCTGCTTGCTTCGTTACTCGTTTTGGTGCATGAATTTGAATTTGGAATATTTGTCAAACAGTGTGGTGCGGTGGGTAAGCCTTACTCCATTTTCACCCTTTTGGCCAAGTAGCGTAACGCCCTGACTCATCTAAGCAGGTCATCACAAATAAGTGACTTGATAAGTATTTATATCAAGGCGTGCTACAAACAGGTTGGTTGAGTCTGCAATAAAATTGATGTGGTGTGTTCTTAAGCTAGGGATAAATGGATTTGTGTTTGGTTTGTAAACGAATGCTGAATTGGTTAAAAACTGAATAGAACGTCTTGACTGTAGTTGCCGATTTGGTCCCTAGACTGCTGAGGAAAGTGGTATTTATTGAGTTTATGGAAGGGATGGGTGGCTAGTTATGCTTCCCTGTCTTGGTTTGAGCGTCGTCTTAGTCAGGGAAGTTGCATACAACACCGCATCAAGCAATGATGCCGTTCAACATGCGATGTTTAAAGACTTGACGAAGTTTAACCTTGGTTATCCAAGTTTAACCTGCGTAGTTAAACAGTCATAATCGGAGCGCAAACACTGTCTAGTCCCTTCAAACTCAAAGTTGATTTATTGCGTGCAACAAAGAGGACCATGCTACTGGTTCCCCTACTTTGCCATTTGAGAGGGGGTGGTTGACAATGTCCGCCTCCTCTTACACCCAGTGGTCGTATTTAGCGATTGTTTTTGCATTTGCGACATGATGGTAGATTCAAGCATCATCTGTTCTAGCGACCTTCTCATTTTGCCAATGGATTCCCCTTCTTGAGCGGCCCCTTGCCCTGGGACAGTTAGACCTGAGGTGAGGGTGTCTGCTCCGTTTGTTGATTTTATTTCTGCCGACAAGCTTATGTCCATTCGACCTATTCTTAGTGATTTAGTGTTAGCTTTTCATTCAGAAGTGGGTGTTATTGTGTTATCCGACTAACTGCATTCATCAGGGTTGGTGGTAATTGGCTAAAGCTTGTCATTGTCATTGGATGAAGAGTTGCAACTTGATTGTCGTTCTTGTCATGGACAGTAACAATTAATTTATGCTAACCACCTTTCCCGCTGTTCACTTCATTCGCCACAATTTGTCATAGAGATGTCAGCTAAAATCTTTTCGGTACTAGAAGATTACTTCCTTAGGAAGGCTCTATTCCCTTCCGTCATCTGGTAGATTTGACTTCACTGTCTGTTCTTCGTTCCCAGCTATGATTTGACTACATCAGTCACTCAACACGAAGAAATGTTTCCTGCTTTCGAACTTCCTCAGACACCAAATTAGTGACAGCATGATAGGGTGGGTTCCTAGAAAAGAATAACAGTCTGCTTCATTGCCATGGGGGAAAGGCTCCCACTCCAGATGACAGAATTTGGGATGTTTCAATGCAATAGTCAATTCCAAAACAGCGGGAGACCGCAATAGGGTGAGACGAAACCGCCCCTGAAAACGTCTCTGAGACAGGAAACGACGGACAGGAACTGAGGGTGTAGTATTTCCTTACATTGCGGGGATTTGAAGAGACAGCAACTGGTGCTAAACAGGAAAGAGGGGTGAAGCTGCGAGGAGTTGCCTTCCACTGTTTTGGCTTCTAAATATCAAGATCAGTTCCGAAAACGGGCTCCCAATTTGACACTGTTCAAAATTCGCCTTCGTTCTGTTTTTTTTTCAGTCCCATTACTTATGTATGCGATTCAATTTTTTTAACTGGGAAAAAACTACTTTGTGACACTTCTGTGATAAGAAATGTTACAATGGAAAGTTAGAATTTATCATTTTTGATTTTAGTGGCTTTGAAGAATCTATTCCGGCAACTTTGTGGGACTCTTATTGAGTAAAGTAGCGTTTATTCTCGTTAAAGTTCGGGAGGAGTATTGCCTTTTTGCCCCCGGAACCGAATATTTTTGCAAACATGAGCATTTGCCCACTCTTTAGCTGTCATTTGTGATGTCTGGGCCATTCTCTTTTCATTTCCCTCTTCCTCTTTTACTCCTCATCCACTCGCAACCATTCCTTCCCATATCTGCTGCAACCTTTCCTCATTCCAAATTTCATGTGATTCGCAGTTTGTATCTAGGGGTCCCTCCTTACGTACATTTTTTTGCTTCCTGACAAGCATTTCCTTTCAACCGTATTCGAGGCCGTAACACCTTGGGAGATGCATGGCAGCGACCTTACACTCCGACGATATAGTTTCTGATATGCCATCATCACTCAAGGATTTGACCACCAGGTGAACTAGTAACCTAGCGAAGTACGAAGAGAAAAGAAGGGATTCATCCTTCTGAATGGCGTTATTTCAAGTTCCCCTCATTAGAATCGACAACTTTACATATGCGTTTCGTGAATAATTAGATTCATACGACCTACTTGCCGTGTGCTGTCTTTTGTGGCATTGAGGGAATGAAAGGCAATAACCGTCGAACGAGTCATGGATCTCACTTAAATTTTTCTTTGTTCTGGATATCAACGAAGAAAAGGCAAGAGATTGATGAATTTCGCTACCATTTTCTACTCTTTCCCATTCCAAGACAGCTTCCTTTACCTTGACAGCAAACTGATGCCGTTGACACAGGAGATTGCACAATTCGGCGTGGTTTGATTTGTACGGGTCGGACTTAGTCCTTCTCTGTCGAGTGTTTGCGACTGTCTACCAATTCCTTTGTGATTGTTTACAAACCCAAGTTTACACTCCTAACTAGTCTCCGTCAATGCCATGTTGACATATTTGAGGGTTTGTGACTGGCATCAGTGACTAATTTTGATTGAAATGTTGCATTCAGAGTTGCCTCTGAGGGCGCCTCTAAACTGGATTCGCCTATTGTTAAAATCCAAAGGGAGGGAGTCAGTATTCCCTGTATTTTTACCGAAAGAGCAGGGTTCTTTATCTGATGCATGTGTGCTGTTGATATCTTTTTTGTGATAATAAAAAATCATATTTAACTAAAGCGGTCAAATAGTTCCCACCTTGTTTTGGTTACTCCTCTGCATCTGTCATCACAACGGGAATGAAAATCTCCTGATGAATGTCGCAATGTCGCCGGCGCCAATCTATCCATCTCTCACATTCTTACCGCTAACTGTTGGAGAAATTGACTTGCTAAGTATTACTGAGGTCTGGATGGTGTTCTGCAGCAAATGCCTCCGCAAATGCCAATTATTTCTCGTTGAAACGTTTCTCAATAAAACATCTAACAGAGAATGGCCCTTAGAAACTTCTTGCTTTAATGTCCCGTCTTTGTTGTGTAGTTTTTATGTCTCTGCTACACATGTGTCAGAACTTGAGATCGGGTGCGATGCTAAAGGCCGACCTGTTTTAACAGTTCTTCTGTTGTTGTGTCCTTTTTTAAGAATCGACTAAGGTGTTGGCCACTGGTCTCAGAGGGAAGTCGATTACAACAGTCTAAATGTTTTATTTCTCCCCAAATCCAATTTATTCCCTTTTAATTGAATGCTTCTCGTATGTATGGAGTGTCGCGCATATGTGACGCTGGCGGTGTCAAAATAAATCAATCCTTTCCAGAAGAGAAGTTTATTAAAATAATGGGGAGAGAGGAGCTTGCGAACTCACCGACCACTTATTCCTTGATTTTATTCCAGGCGGAATCGTGAATCTCGGCGATGCCAATCACCAACTCCTGCAAATACAGCAAGCAGCTCTGCTTCAACAACAGCTGCATCAGCGGATCGCCTCTGTGAATGCTACAGTTACAATGGGTACTCAAGGAAATCCTTATCTTCAGGTGAGGTACTTCCTCCTCTAAAAATGTGGGCTGCCGGTAAATGACTACTATGTCCACAAAAACACTTCCGATGCTGGCGTTATCTTACAATCCGCCTGTGATTACTGCTGTAATTATGGCCTTTGAATGGCTGTGACATTGACTGGATTTAAATTTGTAACAGGAAAGACAATCATGCAACGCTTTTGCATCACGTTTCAAATTCAAGGGCTGCAGTCTTTCCATCATATTCCGCGTAGAAAAGTTTGCTCGAAAGCAAAACCTGCCTTTTGAAATATGCTACGTAAAGTAGCTTCCATCTTATTTCATAAGTACTTCAATTTTACTCCTTTTTTTCATTTTTATATCACTGCAGACTTCAGCTTTGTACGTTTTGGTTTAACCCCGTCACTAACCGTGTTGCTGAGCTTGAGATTGGGTTGCCTCCGTAATGCCTGATTGTTGTTTTCTCCTTTGTTAAGGGCACCCATAAATTCATTCAACTGCAGTCGAGGTGTTGCTTTAATTTAAAAGTACAAAGGGGCTGGAAAGTTAGTGGATGAGCTCCATACTACCAGCTTTTAAGTACTTTAAGCGAATGAGTGAGTGGTTGGTTGGATATGCAAGCACACTGTAGGTAGAAAATGATTTCCTGCGGCGGTAACACCCATGCTCGTCCCATGTGCGTGAGACCGAGGCAGGTAAGCGTTATAGCTAGGGAAGCAGGGAATGCTCTTGTCGATAGGCGAACATAAAACCTTGTCCATTGACTCATGAGTAGCGGTGGGGAGAGGTGAGGCAATATTTAAACACTCTAGGTGTACTACCACTCACTTGGGTCATACTCACACTAGCTTATCTGTTGCACAGCCAATAACCTAGGCCTCTAACATTCTACCTTCCCC